ATTTTAACGTATACAAATGTAAAATATGAAATTTCATATTTATAAAATTTTTTACTTCTTAGACTTAACAATTTTAATTCGAGTATATCAGAATTTAAGTAGTAAACTAACTTAATTGTTCTTTGAATATAGCTGTGAAAAGCACGGTNTAATTGTTCTTTGAATATAACTGTGAAAAGCACGGTAAGCTGTTGCTGTAAAACTAGAGAATGTTGTAGGATTTAAAGACTGATCGTATCGATTGTCATACCCTTTCTTAAGAGGTAATAGCTCGTTAAGCTTGGCAAAATCCGAACCTAAACAAGTTTAATTATTTAAAAATACATATAGAGTTATTTTTTATAAAAACCCACTTTTCAAATAGGAATACTTATTCTGAATTTAATAAAATGATTGAAGTTTTATTTTAATTTTAATTAGTACAGTTAAAACTGTTGATAATTGTAGGCGTATTTTCGTGAGTTCTTTAATCTTCACTTCTAATGTAATTCTTAATTTTAATTTTTAAACAAATAATTTTATTATTATTACTATTATTTTTTTTCCATTTGTCTATTACATATTCACTGTATTATAAAGTTTGTAATTGTTTACAATTTCGAAAATTGATGCGTCAGCTAAAAAATCAGGATCATCATCCAGTATTTCCCGCAGTGAGCTTACTTTCAGTGAGATATTACTAAAAATATAATCCTTGCAGTCTTCTCAAGATACCAAATTTTTAGCAATTGTTAAAAACCTTAGCTCTTATGAAAATAAGCTAATTTAATTCAATACGCTATGAGTTATGTAACATTGACTCAAAATAGTTTAAAATCTAAAAATGAATACCTATTTTCTGAAGTTCGTGCTTTACGTAGTAAAATACATCAATGAGAAACCTTTACTAAGACATATTGTAATTCTAGTGATATAGTTATAGAAACTCAAGATATTATTCGAAGAGCAAATAATGTAATTGTTTATAATATACTTGAAATTAATATATAGAAATATGTGACACTGAACATACTTCTAATCAATTAATTCCTACTTTGGGTATTCAAGCAAAAATTGATAGTGCTAAACGCCTGGTTAAAAAATAAATATTAAAAAACAGTCGACCTTTACTTATGAAACTAAATAACATCAATTATGTAACATTAATATAAAAATTTAAGTTAAAACTTCATTCATTAGGTTATTGAAAAAATATTGGGATTAACACTAATCAAACACAGCGTCAAAGAGAAAAAATGTAAATGTTGTGACATGATTTAGTTTTAAAAAGACAATCGGGTGATAAAGTAAATTCATAGCAATCCAACTTTGGTTCAAAAATCTAAGTCAAAGTTCTAGAAAATTAAAAGAAAAAAAAATATTCAAAATGTAAAAAAAACAATGAATATGTTAATTCTAAATTTAAATTATTCAGATATTATCAAAATGTCCGTGATTTACGTACTAAATTAAATAACTTAATTTTTAATATACCGTTATGTAATGTATATTATTTTATATTAACTGAAACTTGACTATATAAGTTTATTTTAAATTCTAAGCTTGGCTTTGATGATCTTTCAGCTTATCGTATTGTCTGGTGTCGAAAAATCAGTTTTTTTATCTAGAGGTGGTGGTTTAGCTATATTTGTAAACAAACGTTTTGTGTTCAATATTTTTACTACTCCGTTCGATAATCTCGAATAGGTTAATACTTACTAACAATCATAAGGATCAGTTGTTAAAGTTGCCATCTATGAGTGAGTCTTGGGACTTTTCGAATAATCTGTTATTCTATAAGTAATTGAGTGAGTTATGATAAAATAACGTTTATATTTAGTAATATATGAATTCTCTAAATTAAATAATTATTTATATCACTTTTTAATAAGAACAAAATTTCTACTAAATAGTAACAAGTCATTGCACTTTTGTTAAACATATTTTTATCTCCATTATTAAATATTAATGAAATAAAGTATATAATATTACCTAATATTATTGGAACAAATTCGTTGTAGGTGACGTGTTGATACATGCCGATAAGCATTTTTCTAGATTCCTGATATAACCGTTCATCATCCCATTGTGGATTTATAGTATTGAGCTCTTCGCAAAGAAAGTTATGTAACCTCAATAAAGTTATAGTGGAAACGGCTATACCGGGTTGTTGATTTACTCGTGTATCTCCTAATTTTATAATAAAATTACAGTTTTCATTAATATCATACTTTTTTTTAGAAAAGGCAGATTATGTTTAAAAAATCATTTATTTGAATTTGGATTTGAAGCAATATTTTATTTTGTATGATTTATGTGTTATGTTCATTTTATCATACAAAGTAAAATCTGTCTCGTTTATATTTTGTAAATGACTTGTTTAGATTAAATTTATTTTTCTATATAGACTAAATAAAGTTTTAAACATTCAAATATTTTTTGTTAGAAATTTAAATGAATTACGACTCTACTTGATTTAGAATGGATTATGTTTTATTTTTTTAGCTTTGATGCGTAGCTGAGAAGGTATTAATTTTACCATGATGTGTTTATAATATTTCTTTACTTTTTTTTGTGTTTGTCACTACTTTTACTCAGTTGTCGCTTGACTGATATTTCTTAACAATACGTCAAAAGATCAAAAATCGTATCTAGTTGAAGACATTATCCTCAAAAATTAAAAAATTTTCTCTTGTTCCCCATAAATGATGATAATACCCCAAAAAATTATGATTTTTAAAATCGAAAAATGTTGACATTTTTTTCACTTTTTTTTTTCTAAAAATTACTATAACTTATTGAAAAATAAATCAAAATAATTTTTTTTATATTGAAACCTCATGTAATTTCATTTATTTGACATAATATTTTTGAAAATTCAACCCTTTAACTACACACAAGAGGGAATTCAAAATAGCAACTGTTTTACAAAACTCAACTTTTGCAACTTAACTTTTAAAAATGTTCTGGAAATACTGCGTTCTTTAAACATATGTCAAAATAAAGCTTATGCTACGTATTATAAATTAAAAAAAAATTGACTTATCTTCTTTATGCAAATAGCTGCCATATTTAAAAAAAACATGTTATTTTTGTGTTCAAATTTTAATTTTGTTTGTTTATTATAATAAACCTTATAAGAGTTTTTCGTAGCAATGAGACCACCAATAAATATAAAATTTACATGAATCTAACTTACATTAACTATAAATTTATACTTATTTTAATTATTTTGCCTCTTCAAAATTGAGAAAAGTTTTTTTGACTTTTTGAAAACTTGAAGATTTGTATAAAAAGTAGAACTTTTTCAACATAACTTTTGAAAATGTTTCGGGAATTATGCGTCATTTAAATATATGTTAAAATAAAGTTTATTTTACGTACTAGAAGTCCAAAAAAAAAAAAAAAATGTACCGGCGACCTATATTATATTTGCAAATAGCAGTTGGAGTAGAACAAAAAATAGTAGTCGATTTTACTTTTGGAAATATCCACTAATTCCTTAGAATTAAACATTATCTACAGATTTGGATCAAAGCATTTCTTATGATAGTGATTATAACCACTGCCAGATATCATCTATACTTGTCCCATTATGCCACGACCCCATTATGCTACTGTTTTTTTTCATCAGATCACGTAAAAAACTATGATTATTATTTTGGGGTTTGACATACACCTATTATCATTTTTATTAAAATGCCAAAGAGTATTTTTTGAAAGTTTCGAAAGTTTTACTAACGAATCATGTAATTAACTGTATATATTTATAATTTGTAGCAGTTACTCAGTTACATTAATGTAATTAATCTTAAATTTGTCTGCGTGCAGCGTATTAAGAAATTTGGTTTTAAGCATTCAAATATTTTTTTTTGGAAATCTAAATGAATTACGACTCTACTTGATTTAGCATGGATTGTGTTTTATGTTATTTTCATCAGATCATGTTAACTGCTGCATTACACTATACTTTGGGAATTACTTACCAGCAGTATAGCAAATTGGCTTTTCGACTTGACCATTACATGACTTCATTGGGTTTTCAACATTGCTTAAGAATATTTTATCATTAGGACCTAACTGAAACTTTAGCTTGCCACCATTAAAGGTTCTTAACGATTGAGCCGTTTCATCATTTGAACCGTATAATAATGATAAATCGAGAAAACTAGTGACTCCGATAATCTAAAANTTTTTTTTTTCTTTACAATTTTTTTCTTACTTGGCGCACAGGTTTAATGTTACAGCCTATATCTAATGTATCTTTTACTCTAGTGATTGGTATACATCTTTTATTCATCTCTGAATCATTTTCTGGTACAAAAACTGATATACATTCTGCAGGTAAGTCCTCGGGGAATGATCCATCAGGATTACAACATTGAGGTTCTTTTCCAGTACCTTACACATTTTTTTCATAGGACTCTTAAAATATATTTTAATATATTAAAAATATTTATTCGTTTTTTGAGATCGATGAGTCTTATTTATTAATTAGTTTTTAATTATTTATTATTTTGGTTGTCTTTAAACAATAAAAAAACCAGCACAGGGGGGTCGTGGCACAGTGATGACGTAGCATAGTTGGATCAAATATAATGATATCTGACAGTGATTTAAATCACTATCAAAAAAACGCTTCGATGCAAATCTTTAGATAGTGTTTAATTTTAAAAAATTGGTGGATTATTCCAAAAGTAACATGATCTGCTAGTTCGTTATTAATATCCTGATTCAGATAAAGTATGACGAATGAAAAAGNCTGCTAGTTCCTTATTAATATCCTGATTAAGATAAAGTATGACGAATGAAAAAGGGATTATTAAAAAATATTATTTCTCATAAAAAAATTATGTTGATCCATACACTTTTCACTTTTCACAGTTATAGCATTATAAAGTTAAAAATAAAAAATAAAATCGAGACTTTTCACACAAAAATAGCATTTAGTAGCCATTTTCAGCATGAAGACAAAATAAAGTCCGAAATTTTTTTTTCCATAATAAAGTGCATTACATTAGATTTAATTTAAGATATATATAAAAGTGTCAGACTTTCCGGAACACTTTCAAAATTTAAGTTGAAAAAGTAAATTTTTTGTGAAAAAGTTGTCATTTTGTATCCCCCCCTGTAGGCAGGTAAAAAGTCAGATTTATAAAAAAAATATACCAACTCATAGGTAAAGACATCACGCATCTATAAAAAAAAATTATGTTGATCCATACATTTTTTAAAATGTTATAGCATTATAAAGTTAAAAATATAAAAAAGAATTCTTTTACAAAAATTGTATTTTTTTATTAACTTTGATGTCTGTTTTCACCATGAAGATAAAATAAAGTCCGAAATTTTTTTTTGCATAATAGAGCACATTACATTAGCTTTAATTTAAGATATATATAAAAGTGTCAGACTTTCCGGAACACTTTCAAAATTTAAGTTGAAAAAGTCAATTTTTTGTGAAAAAGTTGTCATTTTGAATCCCCCCCTGTAGGCAGGTAAAAAGTCAGATTTATAAAAAAAATATACCAAATGATAGGTAAAGACATCATGCATCTACAAAAAAAAGAATTATATTGATCCATACATCTTTCAAAAAGTTATAGCATTATAAAGTTAAAAATATAAAAAAGAATTTTTTTACAAAAATCGTATTTTTTTTATTAAGTTTAATGTCTGTTTTCACCATGAAGATAAAATAAAGTCCGAAATTTTTTTTTAGCATAATAAAGTATATTACATTAGCTTTAATTTAAGATATATATAAAAGTGTCAGACCTTCCGGAACACTTTCAAAATTTAAATTGAAAAAGTTCTACTTTTTACATGCATTTTTTAGATTTGAACCCCCCTTGTATATAGTGAAATGGTCTGATTTAAAAAAACAGTATGTCAAATGAAAGATGTATATGAATACTACTTCTCATAAAAAAATTGTACTGATCCATACATTTTTCAAAAAGTTATAGCATAATAAAGTTAAAAATGTAAAATACAAAATCGAAAATTTTACACAAAAATAGCATTCTGTAGCCATTTTCACCGTGAAGATAAAATAAAGTCCGAAATTTTTTTTTTGCATAATAAAGTACATTACATTAGCTTTAATTTAAGATATATATAAAAGTGTCAGACCTTCCGGAACATTTTTAAAAGTTAAGTTAAAAAAGTTAATTTTTTGTGAAAAAGTTGTCATTTTAAATCTTCCCTTGTGGGGAGGTTAAGGGTTAAATTTATGAAAAAAATATACCAAATGAAAGGTAATGATATCATGCATCTACATAAAAAAGTTATGGCACTTTTAAGTAAAAAAAATTGAACAAATTTCGAAAATTAGCGATTTTTAAATTTGTAATTTTTTTGGAGGTTTCCCCCATTATGGGGAACAGGGAATTTTTTTCATTTTTTGAGGGTAATGTCTTCAACTAGATACAATTTGTGATCTTTTGACGTATCATTGAAAGAAATCGGTTCGGTGAGAGCTGAGAAAAAGTGGTAACAGACAAAAAAAAAAACACACATCTTAGTAAAACCAATACCTTTTCAGCTTCGCATTGAAGCTAAAAATGATTCAGTTATTAGAGTAGAAAAGTAATTTATAAATTTGTAAAGAGTTCTGTAGAAACATCTATAATATTTAGTTGCTAATACTAATTTACTGGTTTTTTTTTCTACAGCCAATTCTGTATCATGAGCAATAACTTGCCCGTATTGTGTCACGTATACAGTGTGATCTGGTGATGGCTGATCTTTGTCTGGAAAAATAGTTGTTCGTATTATTCTGGAGTTTGGTAACTCTTCACCTGACACAGTCTTTCTCGGTTGATTTATGCCTAAGGAGAGATTATTTAATTAGGGACAATAAAATTAGGTTTGTCTTATATACCATCTGAGTAGTCAGCTTGAATAATTCTAGTAACAGCAACGTCAGATTTTCCCCAAGTGGGAAACTGCAAGTTATTACAACTGCCGTCTGCAGTTCTAAATGGAGCATTTGAATTGCATTGTGGACGAGAAAAACATTGGTCTGATAAATCAATTTCTTTTTGTGATAACATATTTATAGTGTGCATACCATTTTCAAAACCGCTGGGAAAAAAAGTTGATTTAAATTAAAAGCAAAGTAATTTTTTTAAATAAAAACTTTAAAATAAGGTGTTTAATTAACAGTTTTACAATTAATTTACGTTCAGGATATTTTAAGTAATTTAGAAATTATATAATATGTTTACGGGTGCCTCTGTGGATTGAGGTCTTTTTCTTTTAGCAATATACTGTCATGCGAATTTTTGCATATGAATGCATTTGTGTTGTTTAATGGGTGGTTTGATGGTTTCTTTTTGAAAAAGTCAAATATGAACTTGGTATCATATTTTTCATCTGAAATTTATTTAAAATCATTTTAAATCAAATAAATTAATAATTCAACCAATTTTCTATTTTGTATTTTTCTTTACCGTCATTGATGTTTTGACTTTGATGACTCAATGTTTCAACTATAATGATAGAAAATAATATAACAAAAAATCTTGACATGATTTGTAGACACTTGTTCACCTGAACCTGGTTTGATGTCAATTACTATTAAGTGTGTTGATATTTCTAATTGGTTTCATAACTATTCTGTACTAGCTATTTATTAGTATTTGAAACAATGTTATCAACATAAAAAAAAAATTATCATATCATTGCCTTAGTTAACCTTTTATTAAAGCAGAATGGAAATTTTTAATCAATTTTAAAGATATTTAAAATGCATAAATTATGCAAAAAAATTATTTTTAATTCTATCTAAAATTGCAGTATTAAATAATGAAAGGGAAATCATTATTCTTTGCATGCTTGAAATTTCTATTTTAAAAATTAAATCATGTAAAAAGTTATCTTTATTTCTAGTTAGACTATGTAGATTTTCCTGTCCTCTCTGACAAAAACAAGATCTTTTAAAGAGGACGTTATACGTAAAATAATAATAATAATAAAATATAAAATAAAATCGTCCGATTTAAAAAAAAGTATGTCAGATAAAAGGAGTATATAGGGTGATTTTTTTATCATAACCCACTCAATTACTTACAGAATAATAATAATTAAAATTTTTTTTTTTATTATTATCTTTAGTTACACATTATTCTTGAATTATTAACTACGTAATACTTATTAAGTNTTTAGTTACACATTATTCTTGAATTATTAACTATGTAATACTTTTTAAGTTCATCCCTTATGCCTGGTAAGGGTGTCAACTTTGTTTTTTTAAATGGTAACACGTATTTTTAATTTAATAAAATGTTTGAGTTTTTAATTCAATAATAAATGGCATTTGAATTTTTAATAAAACTTAATTTGTTTATTAGATATAAACATTTAAAGTTTCAAATTTTTGAGTTAATATACATGTATAATACACTAGGGATTACAAATACAGGTAGGTAATTGGTTTTTTATGATATTGCTATCACAGTCACGGATTGTTTATTATCAATTATGACTATCAATAGATAAACTTTTTGAATTGTCAGTAAGTGTATTTATAAACTCACAACAATGTACCTTACTATCATTGATAATAACAATGCTGTGTACCTGCTAATATCGATGTCATAAAAAATCAATTAGCTACCTGTATTTGTAATCCCTTGTGTATTATACCTATATATTAACTCAAAAATTTGAAACTTTAAATGTTTATATCTAATAAACAAATTAAGTTTTATTAAAAATTCAAATGCCATTTACTATTGAATTAAAAACTCAAACATTTTATTAAATTAAAAATACGTGTTACCATTTAAAAAAACAAAGTTGACACCCTTACCAGGCATAAGGGATGAACTTAAAAAGTATTACATAGTTAATAATTCAAGAATAATGTGTAACTAAAGATAGTAATAAAAAAAAAATTTTTAATTACTATTATTCTGTAAGTAATTGAGTGGGTTATGATAAAGAAATCACCCTGTATATTTAGAAGAAAAATTGTGGTGACCCATAATTTTTTAAAAAATTTATAACAAATTAAAGTTGAAAATATAAAAACGAAAATCGAAAATTTTAATAAGAAAAAAAAACATGATTTTAACTACAGAAACGTTTGCATGTTAAAGATATGTCTTCAGGAAAATTTTTTTTTAATTAATAGTATGTAACATAAGCTTTAATGTAATATATGTTAATAGGATGCAGTATTTCCAGAACATTTTCAAAAGTTAAGTTGAAAGAATTGATTTTTGTAAAAAAGTTGCTATTTTGAATCTTTTCCTGTTGGTAGCTAAAAGATCAGGTTTTCAAAAAATTTATTTTAAATAAAAAAAAAAATTATTTTGATTTGATCATTTTTCAAAATATTGAAAGAAATTGGTTCGGTGAGAGCTAAGAAAAAGTGGTAACAGACACACCATAGTAAAATTAATACCTTCTGAGCTTTGCATCGAAGCTAAAAATGACTTGTTTTTTTATATACAATAATAATTTAACTATTGATATGAATATTATAATTTTTAGTATAAATTTTAAGATTGAAATTCATTATTTAGTAGTGCAACTGATCATAAGGAAGTGCCTTAAATAATAGTCGAAATTGGACATTTACGGTTAAATCAGGACATAAGCGGAAATCAGAAAGGAGGTCTTAGGAGGCTTAGCCCTTCAACATTTTAATTTAACTATATCTATTTTATACAAAAACAATTGTAGACACAGACACAAAAATAAAAACATATCATAGTAAAATTTATACCTTGTCAGCTTCGCAACGAAGCTAAAAACATTTTATCCACAGTACATGTGAAATACTTTTTTTTTTTTCACGGTCGACCTATTATTGGACGCCCTGGGACTACCGTGAGGTATTTTTTCAGGGCGCCCAACGTCGCATTAAAACTCATATCACCGTGTTGTGACTCACCCCGAAATTAATCAAGAGCTGAGTCACAATACACATGTGAAATACAGTTGTATAAAAATTTTATTGCTATACATTTTTTAAGTAAGAATTATAATTTTTGGTTGATTTGGTCGAGAAAACCACTGAATGTATTTGCTTTTGATAAACCGCAGAGTTGACAAAATTCATTATAAGAAGATTCACTAAAATTTTGATCCTGTTAAAATCGATATTAATTAAATCTAATCTTCCAAGTTTATTAGATAGTTTAACTAGCATGTCGCTAATTTATAGTGAAATTCATAAGAAGTCTATCAATTTCTATACACATGAACCGAAAGGAGATTAATTAAATTCTTTAAAAATAGATAAATAATTCTTTTATGTAAATGTAAGTAAAGATATTATATGGCTATATACACACACACACACACATATATATATATATATATAACTATCTATTCAAAGTATCAATTATTTGTTAAAGGATTTATTTTTATAAAAACTATAATTAACTTTGAATATTTCTGTGGTAAGAATATTGATCTTAATTTTGAATATTCTATGTAAGCAATAACCTAGTGACGCTGATCTAATTATCTGTTGTATTTATTATCTCATATTATAGTTAAATATCGAATTATATTTTGTATTGTAGATACCTAAAGAGTATTTTTGCTTATTCTAGTTTACAACTTAAACTTTTTACATGCTTGATGAATATTGTATTATAAAAATATCAATTTTTATAGTATGTTGAAAATATCTATTAAGTTATAATGAAACTAATATAATAATTATTAAAATTGTTAAAATTTGGAGATATTGTAAGGTAAAATTAATTGATTTATTGCTACAGGTACTGTAAGTTACAGTTTATTTATGTAACAGTGATTATTATACCATTTTCTAAAAGTTTTGGTAATCATTGATCAAGTGTGACGTGTTGATTACTTGCAATTATTATCTTTCTTGCTTCTAAATAAAGCCGTTCGTTCTGTCACTTGGTGTTAATTTTTTTGTTTTAATGTTAATACAATTTTTGCATATTTAACATTATAAGGGTGTCAAATATAATTCACTGAAATAAGCAGTTTTTAATATAGGCAAACGACTACTTTTTTCTGACACAGAATTTTTTAAGTATAAAGTTTGAAAACAATTTATTTTTGTTTTAATAAGAATTGTTTTACGTTATAAGTTGTATATATTTAAGGATATTTTGCGTTTTTTGATATCACGAACATTTGGTTTTTTTTTATTACGTTTTGATGACATTTTTCGTTTTAAATTATAACAATTGTATTATTATTTATAATGTTTTCTTGTCCTGGAATCATATTTAAATCAATATATTCATTAACTACTCAATGATATAATATGTTGCATAATTTTTATTTACACGACTGTTTAGAATTAAACTTTTAGAGTTATAAGGTAAAAATAAAATCAAATTATCCTAAGATATTAATAATTCAAGAATTAAATGCTTAATATAACTAGGTAATATTGGTTAAAAAACGTTCCTTTATGTTCCTTTAAAGACCTTAATGATTCAACATCCTAATATTATATAACTGAGTCTTCATGATTTATTATTTCAGACATAAAAATTTTCAAAAAAACGAGAAAAAAATAATTTAAATTATAATAATATAAAATTTTAATATTTCTTAAGTTTTAAACATGATAAAAAAAACATATTTTTGAATCGCGTCAGAGTAACTGGTGTAACGTGAAATATTTTCATTAATAGTTTGGAATTGATGTCGTTACATCTTCTACCTATTGATCTGAACCGAAAATTTTCATCATATTTTGGTTTTGGGAAACACTGGTTTGACAAATCGATTTCACTCACTGACAGTAATCCTATGGTATTTGTCGTATCCAATGATCTGGAATACACACATAAACGTCTAATTCATAAACAGTTTGTTTTGTAAACAAGGCAATAGCGTAAAATGAAGTATGGCGTATAATGAAAAATGTACTTGACTTGGAATCATATCATAGAAGCTAATCAGTGAAAAATATTAATCAATCATCATTCAAAGTAATAGCTATATAATAAAAATTTCTTAAATAATTATTTTTAGCTCAAAAAGATAATCATTTGAAGAGTTTGATAAAAATTAAAAGTATTTATTTTTTCATTAAAATTACATAAGGAATATTAATTTGAATTCGTCTGTATAAATTAGCTATGGACGATAAAAAATATTTTTACATAAAAAATTACAGTATATTTTGAGGCTTATTATTCCTTTGATTCATGAATTCCTATGAATTTTTTTTGTTACTATAGTACCTTTTTAGTTAACCAGTGTGCCCGAAAAAGTACATTTGAAAATTTTATTTATGACAACAATATAATATGAATGATTATGAATATTAACTTGATAATATTATCAGGTTTTTCAACAAATTAATTAAATTTGGCAAAAAGATTTTTCTTCAAAAGGTGACACTGCATCTTAATAATAAGCAGGGTCTTAAATAAATAAAGGTTTTTTTGGTTTTAATCAGTTTTTAGCTTCGATGCGAAGCTGAGAAGGTATTGGTTTTACTAAGATGTGTTTTTTTTTTTTTTTTTTGTGTCTGTTACCACTTTTTTTCAGCTCTCACCGAACCGATTTCTTTCAATGATACGTCAAAAGATCACAATTTGTATCTAGTCAAAGACATTACCCTCAAAAATTTAAAAAAATTCCCTCGTTCCCCGTAAATGGGGGAAATCTCCAAAAAAATTACGAATTTAAAAATCGCTAATTTTCAAAATTTTTTCAATTTTTTTTACTTAAAAGT